GAATCTTGTAAGAGTTATATATATATATATTTTCAATGTTTAAACAAATTTAAGACCTTGGATAATTCATTCTTTAATGACGGTTCAATTCATCATGCAGGTTTTACTTGGACGAGCAACAGAAGGTGTTCCTGTGGACATTGACTTGGGTAAAGGAGGGCAAGGCAATGCAATTTCTCGACGTCAGGTTAGTAAAGTTTACCAACTTCAACTTAAATGTCAATGCCGCAGCAACCTTTGCTGCATTTGATAGATTTTGATAAAAACATGCATAATGTATTTCTCATTTTCAAATTTAGGCAACACCGTGTTTATATCATAAAATTAGTTATACTTACTAATAACATCAATATGCTTTATGAAATACTTCAACAGCAAAATAACTCTTGCTCTTTCTAACTGCTGCTTTAGATCACATTCAGCAAACCTAAAATGTTTTTCTCTCCTAATTTTAGCTTCAAAGAGAAATCAATGCTATGCTAGGAATTTAACGGAGGAATAATTGTGATTAGATATAATATCTGATACTGTATGGAGGATCCATGTATGCTTAAATGCATCAGGTTTATTCTTCTGATCATAGGGGCAAACTATTTCATCTAGTGAAAGCTGTAATGGCCATTCTACTTATAATGTGATGTTGACATGACCTAAATTCAAATATTAGGACTGCAGAATTATTATTTTTTTCATTGGTAGTTTGAGATATTTTAAGTTGGGCATAGACGGTTAGGTGTGGTGTTGTATTCACTACCTAATTCAAGTTGACTTCAATGTATTATGTTTTTCCGGTGCTAACTTGTAGGCAATTATAAAGATGGATAAAGATGGATCATTCTACATCAAAAACTTTGGCAAGAGCTCAATCTTGGTAAATAGCAAAGAAGTGCTTACTGGCCAGTCTCAAAAACTGCATTCCAATTATCTGATTGAGGTATGGTCTCAAATTTAATTGATTTGCGCAAGCCTCATGGTGAATCATCTGATAGGAAATGATTCTCTTTTTTTCCTGATAAAAAATAAGGTGAGTAGCACCTGCTAGACAGAAAATAAAAGTTCTGCTGATGGATGCAACGTTTTGTTCAAACCCATTCCCTTATAGCTCTTCATTCATGCCTCCCGTACACTACCTATCCTTCTCTCTTATATTATCATTTCTTATCCAGTTGAATTCCCTCGTCCCATTCCATGTGCGCTCAGCATTTGATTATGTTTTTGAACAAAATTATTATTCCCTTTATATTCTATTTTGCCCTCCTCACCTACGTATGTTCACCAGTTTAATGTTTGACTTATCAATTTTCATCCTTTTCCTTTTAGCATTCAGCCCAGTAATACGGGTCTATCATTATCCTTATATGTTAAGTTTTGTCGTTTGCATCTTTGTATGTTCTTGCCCATGTGTTGTTGCAATCCTTTTGTTATAATGCTGCTAGAATAGTCTTTTCATGCCAAGTAGATCAGATATGTATGTGTGCCAGAGTCCATTTACAACTTATAAGATTGGAAGATGCTATAACATGTCATAACGTTGATCCTTAGATTATTAACATGCGTAACATTCCTGTTTCTGCTCTTTGCAGTACAATATCTTTATTTTTTTTTATATGCAGTAGGCAAGTGTTTGGGTTTCACGGAATTTAATTTTGGATTTGATGTATGCTGGACAGTGTTCATATTCTTGCGAATATTTTTTTTTCTTCTATTTGTTAGTTGAATTAAGTACGTAGATTCCTGGATTTCTTCGTACTTTCTACTTCAATTTTACCAGATAGGCAGATATGCTAAATAGGATATAAAAACACAGCCGGTGTTATTTATAATTATAAGAATGACTTGTTACAGTTTATGATATTTTAATTCCATACCTGCTCTGTTGTATTAGTGTGTGTTTAGTTTTGATTCATGAACGTAAGTTTTCTTTCTCTCTCCACGTTTAGAATCAAATTTACGTGGAAGCTTGAATTTTTTGCTTCCTGTAAACGTGAATTTTCACGTCCAAAATCCGAAGCAAACACACGCTTAGTACTATTTTCGTTTGTGAATGATTCAATTTATAAACTGAACGTGGAATTTCATTTCACTACTTTTTTCGGGGAAAAGGGTTTGGCTGTGTTCAAACTTGCACGATGCTATTTGTATTATTACTTATATCAACAGGAAATGTGAATTCTTCAGAGTTTTTGTACTTAACTTCCCACAGGTCTGAAATATGATGAGTGGTTTATCTTGTAGGTGAGGGGCATGCCATTGATATTTGAGATAAATCAAACTCGTGTGAAGCAGTACCTGGATCACATTTCTGACAATTCACAGACCTTGTAGTGTCGATTTGTAAATGATAGCAAAAGGTCTACTAACACAGAAGGTGCTTATTTTTACTGCACTTTCTGATTTTTGGGAAATGGTAAGCAGTGACACTATTGTTGTATATGTCATTGCATTTATTGGTGAACTTATTTTTCCCCCGGAATGGATTTATGCGGCTCTGCACTTTATTCCCTATGGTTTTTTCCTCACAAAAGTAGATAATTCACCAAAAGTTGTGTTCATGGTAAATTTATCCAATCCTGAGTGTTTGTTTCTACGCTAATGCCTTAATCTGTATCTCAAACCACCCTGCATTTTGTAAGGTAAGGAGGACGCATACTTTATTTCTTTTGCCTCCAGTCCATAGGATACATAATCTTTGAAGCAGTCTTGGAAGAATGACATAGGTCCTCGTGTTACATTTATTTGGAGTTCTCCATCTCGTTACCTTAACAAATAGATCTAAGGTTGTTGCCAAAGAATTTGATCGTTTTCCCCTCTCCATGAAACTTGAAACTTGAAACGTCATTTTCCATCCCTAATTGTCTTTTTAATTTAATCTTAATCAATTAACCCAGTCATGTTATTGTCATATAGAAACATTGTACAAGTTGAATTCTTGTAATAGGGCATGAATCTCATGGTCGCTACTATTTAGAATCTACTCCCATGTCTTACGCCGCTACATGTTGAATTTTTTTTTCTTCTTTTTTTAATGATCGTATGAGTCAGGTTTTAAAGAAAAATATAAATGTCATCTTTCATGCAATGGGACTCTTGTCCTTATGATATGCGACGGTTAATCCCAGCAGATGCAGTCGTATCCAAGGTTGGAATTGTTTGTTGTTTGTTTATTTTCTAATGATCAAATAATGAAAATATAAATGTTAAATTGTGAGATGTCAACAGAGAAATTTTTCTAAACAAACTAAAATTATATGTAGTTTTTTTTTTTTCAGTTAATAATTTTGTAATAACTTTAATTTTTTCTATCTTTTATCTTATATAAATTTATGTCTCCATGCCAGAGTAAAATATATTTTTTTTTGTAGACTATTTTTTTTAAAAGTTTGAGAATATGTATTCTTCAATTTCGCTAGTTTTGACCTTTATTGTCGGAATTTGCATAAGTTGAACTTCTCTCCAAATTCCTTTTATAATGTAAACCATGATTTAGTAGAGAAAATTTATTAATATAATTACTCACATCACAGATCTTATCGATATATTGTTTTTCTTTTTATTAAATATATATTTCAAACAGTATAACTACTAATTCATATCGAAATGCACAATTAGTAATGTTCCAAGATAATGATTGGTGGAGTGGTCGTGTTAGTTAAAAGATGCTACGATTTTGTGTTATGAATAAAAGCAACAACTTAATTTGTGTTTAGGGTGACGTTTCAAGTTCTTCAAACCAGCATTAAAACAAAGTTATAAATACTTGTTTTGTGATTTTGTGCATTCGAAAGTAAAATTTTTAATTGTGTCAAAACAAACAGATTCCCAAATACGTTGTTAATATGTCAAATGAATATATTTGGTGTGAGCCACGTGTTTGGTGAGTTAGACTTGGTGAGTTTTAAATGTTTTCAAAAATACTTTTGTTATAATTATCGTACAAAATTCATGGAAGTCATGACTATTTTTTAGGGTTTTGTACATATACTTAACATAAACTTTGATCTTGAAGCGATGTTACATCTTGTACTAACCGATTCTAATAATAATACTTTTTTTTTTAAATAAAAACTGAAAGTCTATGTTTGAGGAATTCAACTATAGCAGCTGTGGTATACTTTGTTAAGTAATGATATACATTATACCTTGCACTTTATGTAAGATAAAATAAACCGATTTTACGTGCAAATAAAGATGATGTTCTAAACATAGCCTGCTAGCTAGTGTATTACAGGTGTATTTTTATTAAGAGAAACAGAAAATGAAGGGAGCATAACATTTTCAATTCCCATTTCCTTCCAACAAATAGCATACAATAATAAGACTGATGAGTTGTTCGGATCGAAGTTATAGTCTTTTGGCAGAGGCAAATGCATTATCTTATCAATATTCACATTCTTCCCAAAAAGGAGACAACAAGGAAAGACATCAACTATATTATATCAAACATCAAATATTAAAATGTATATGGTCCCCCTTTAAGCAGATTTTTTAGGAGAAAACCGACGTGGGTTATCTGCATTCCTGGTGGAGACTAGAACGATCCACCAAATATGGAGGTACGGGCCAAGATCTTGGATCCTGTTCATCTTGTGAGCTTCAACTATAAACCATGTCATCTCTACCTGAATCAGGTTACAGGTCAAGATAGTTTTTTTTTTTTTTTTTTTTTTGGGTACAAATCAAGATAGTTTAATTACAAGATGATTAAAAAAAATATCTAAAGCAACAGTTTAATTACCAATGTAATGACATTATTTTATCAGTGTATAAATTTAAATACGTTTTTAATTCATATAATTATAATTTTATTTAATTCCAGTCATTAAAATATTTGAACATATATACTAAATAGCATTGTCAATTAATATTTTAAAGCTGAAGTAAAGCTTATGATATTCTATTAATATCAATTAGAATGAGACATTTTGTACCTCTATATATTTTATTTAAATAAAAAGTATAAAAAAATAAGAGAGAAAATGAAAGTTAAAATAAGTAAGGTGATTATTGATCAATTATATAATAGGTAAGAGAGCCTAAGAGAATACATTAATACCATTGACATGATTTTAAAGAAATGGTTGAATTAGAACTTCAAAATTAAAGTCAAAAACTTTATATTAAAGAGTGTCAAGTAATGTGTTTTTGGACGTTTTGACTATCCTAATCTTTAACGTGGTTTGAATAATAATATGCTATGTTATTTAAATGAAAGTGAAATTGAAGGAAGAAAAAGTTAGAAATTTTAAAAATGCCAAAAATAAGATAAAATAGTTAAAAACTATGATTAAAATTTGAATTTTATGAAAATTAAAATAAAATTAGTCATTTTGTGGATAATAAAACTAAAACTAATCAAGATTAAAATCAACTTTTTTTTTTATAAAAAAAGTCATTCTGAAAATGACTAACATAACGCTTATCACACATTGTAAAAAAAAATGCTTATCACGTGAGATGTGAATGACATGTGTTGCGTCACATGACTTTTACGTTACCTAAGATATTATTGTGCATAGCACTGCACTTATGTATATTTTCATTGGACAGATCAATAGTTAACAGAAATTTAAGAATTAGAGTATTTAAAAAATAAAGAGATTAAAATTAATAATTTTAAAAGCTAGAAACAAAAACTAAAGTTAAATACGTTTTTCAAGGGCTAAAAGTACCATTAACCCTTTATATTAATATCAAATATCAAATGCTTACGCAAGACACTTCGTCACCATGATTATTAAAAACTTAAAAACATGTGAATTCGCGTAGATTTATGTTTAGGATGCTAGCTAAAGTGTTGAGTATCAATCATGACTTGTTAATAATCATTCTAAAATGGTTATTTAATATGATATGATGATATACATGATGTAATCGCTAACACGTGGGAGAAATTATTTTAATAAATTTCCAACAACATATACTCAAACCAAAGTTAAACATCTGTATTTTACTATATATGTTTTTTAGTGAAGATCTATACTATAATAATTCATTAAAAAAATTATACAACATTATTTTTTTTAATCTATTTTTTCTCATCATTTTATATTATATTTTTTCTCTTTTTTTCTTAGTTGAAAAGTTTATTTTACAAGTATCATTTTTTTAAATTAAATTAACACTGATACAACTTAAAATATTAATGAGATGCTTATCAATTTCTATAATATCATTTTTTATGTTTAATTTTCTCTTTAACATTATTTATTATATTTCAAATTTCTCTCATTTATCTTTTAGTTTTAAAAATTATTATATAAGTATCATTTCTCAACTTAAAAGCATGTGAATTTGTATATTTTTTTTTGTTTTTGGGTGGTTACTGAATTTTAACATTTTTTTTACAATATTAGCATTCATATGAGCTAAATATATATACTTTTCATCTGAAAGAAATACCATTATAAGTATTGGTTATTATAGTTAATTGTTTTAATTTTTTTATTTTACAGAGCTATTAATTTCCTTTTAGAATTTTGCATTATTTTTAGTATTAATTTTAAAAAATAATTATAATAAATTATGTTTAGAAATTTAAGACTAGATTAGGAATTGTACAAAATTAATTATTAAAGAGATCAACATTATAATTTTAAGGATTAAAATAGGATATATATATATATATATATATATATATATATTATTTTAGTTTATTTTATAAGAAAATGGATAAGTTTCTGTACTGTTCCATGTCTACTATATAAAAGAAAAGTACGAAATGATTGTTCATATATTACATTTCATAAGACTAGTATAAAAAATTCATTTACCATGCATAAAGCTCTTTTTAGTCACAGCCTGTTAAGAAATATGTTTCTAGCATATTGTGTTTCAATTTAATTGTTAGAGAATATATTTTATTATTATTTTTTTACAAATAGTTAAAGAATAATTATCTATATATAAAATGAGTTAATTCAAATGCAAATTAGAGTAATGGTTTTTAAAAGAGTAAAATATATTTTCCTTTTAATAGAGTTTTAAATTAGATTATTTATATTTTTAATTTTGGCGTATTAGTTAGAAACAATTAATTCACATATCTGATTCCTATTGTATGTGAAAATTTGTTGGACCAGTGGATAGTGAAATTTAGAGTGCTATAAGTGAGACTAGATACCAATGGCAAGATTAAAAAAAAAACCTTCTCTAAAAGGAGGTAAATATTTATTCCAAGTTGGTGTATTTTAAGATAAACATGTGATCACTACCAAGTTACTAACATAATTGACTAATAACATTGTTTATGCAGTTAAAATTTGATATCTTCATGAGTTTGCGTATACAATATTTTTTTTTATTATTAAGAGATCAAATATTTTTTAATTATATTTTTGGTCTTTATAGTTTCATCAATTTTATCTTTCAATTTTTATATTTAAAAGTATTCATTTTAATTCGTACGCATATAATTTTTTCTTTCTTTTAGTCTCATAAAATTTATGAAATTATATAGAGATTTAAAAGAACCATATGCAATATATATAATGGTTAAACCGAATTATTTTTTAATTATAAAGACAAAGATAAAGTTGATGAATTTATTGAAAAATAATAGCAATTAAATCTGTATTTTATTACCTTCAA